CCTAATTTGACTTGACAGTCAGAGATCTCTTAATCTATTTATATTTTAAACATTTTTTTTTTTTTTTTTTTTTTGACTAGCACTTCAATCAACCCATTTATATTAAGCCTCAAGCACACTGCTTTTACGTTTTGACGCCATACATGAACTGCTAACCTCAGTTTATCTTTTTTCTTTTGTCTGGATAGCGATCCGTTTTCTATATCTAATGACCTTGAAATAGTTAAAATGCGGCTTTTTTTCAACCGAACGTGACGCTGATCTAACTGTGATAATAAAGAGTAAGTCCCTCTACATATTTTTTACTCGTTCTTTCCTTCACCTAATTCAAACCCCATCTATTTAAATGATTTTGCTAGTGAATATATACTGAAGCCTTTTGGAGTTTTTTTTTTTTGTGACTAATTACCGTGACTAAACCTTATTTTGGGTCAAATAATTCTTCCCCAAAACGTCTCTCTACACGAACACTATATGTTCATGCACTTTCCATTCTCTCGGTTTTGAAGAAAATAAAGGTGTTCCAGTTGCTAATCATATTAAGTTCTTTCCAAATGTAAATGGAGTAAGCTTCTAAAATGAAGTTGACACGTACATCAACAACCTTTGTTGTATTTTCAGTCATTTGCGGTTTTTGAGGCAGAGGCTGACCCTCAATAAAAGACATAATACTATAAAAATAATACTATACTATTGACTACTTTGCACAGAACGTAAAGGTAATTTAAAGCGTGAACGTGAAAGTAGACTTTTAAAAAGTTCATGCATAATTAGCTTTTAAATTGTTGATAATTAATCTGTTCTCACCGAATGAGGATTGGTAATATTCTTATAATTTATGTAATATATCAAACACGTACGAAAGAAAGTTTTTGACCACATTTCCAAACACCGAGAAGAGAGTTGAAAATACGACGCGTAGCGCAGTATTTTTGACGAACTTCGAGTTGTTTGGAAATGTGGTCAAACACTGTCTTTCGTGTTTGATATATCTTCTCATATCGAAACTAAAATTAAGAAGAAAACGGAGAATTAAAATTGAAAAAACCTATGCTAATTAAGATCAGATATCCAAACACCGTCACGGTCATGATTTCCTTTGTTTAAACTTGATGAATTATTAATGAGTTTGAGAATGTTAAACCAGATATGTCACCCCCTAAACGAGATAAAGATGATCCTCATCAATGGGTTCTTCTGGTGACATCTCCCCTCAAAATGAAGGATTTTTCAATCGTTACGATGAACGGTTCCAAGGGAAGACAAGGTTTTAACAAAGATAGCATTGGTAATTTTCAAACCACTGTTTTTGTGGTGGATATTCTTTTAAATCAGCTGAGACTGAAAGGGGAAATAGAGAAATAAGGAAAACTGTAAACCTCACGCTATCAACAACAGTGACATGATATATACTTGTGGCCAGATTTTGATTCATTAACTGCAGACCACAACAACATATATTGCCGTCTCTCGGGGTTTTTCTCACGGACAAAAATTAATTATTGACTACATGTCAATGTCGTATATTGCATATCTTGAAGACTTTCGGTGATTTTCATTACCAGTGGAAAATTTAAGAAAGCGTTCTCAACATTTATGAAGTTACGCAATGATCTTACTGGCCTAGCTGATAAACGCAATCTTCAGAATAAATATTTGAAAAATCGAGACAGGATACATAATCTTCTCTCTGAGGCTGAATCGGTGTGTGTTATTTGAATGAAGACATTCAGCTACATTCAGATACATTCAGAAGTAAACTATCATAATGTGAGATTTTGTCGATCGTTTTGCTTTTAATCGACTTGTAACTTGGTCAGTCCTCATCCAAACACTACCCTTCAAAGCTTGCTAATTATACCTGATCGTACCTTTTTTGGATACGCTTTGGTGGTATTTTATAGGCGAGCTTAGTCGAGCAATGGTTCGGTAAGATACCCAAGGCGAGCCGACCAGCCAAGCCTGATATCCCGCCGAAGTGTGCCAAAGAGGAACGATTACGTATTTTCCGTACCCAAATTTGGCCAAGTGACCATAATAAGTACACATTGATAAGTTAATAAAGGTGGTGAATTTTGAAGCTCGGTAATGAAATGTGAAGGTGAATTAATCAACATGACACGAGCATGGGACAAAGAAAAATTCTGA